ACGACGCCCAGCACAGAAGCCGCGCCGACGCCGACTCCTGCCAGTCCGACGCTGAAGGACGGCACCACCGTTTGATGCATTGCCTACGTGTCCTTTTTTGAACGCTGAAGTTTCAAGTTATTGATCACCGACCTGTGGCATGGTGATCGCCTGACCTTGTGGCGCTGATCACCTGACTTGTGGCCTTTTTTGGTAATGGAAAATGTCAGGTCCCTAGGAGCGTGACAGGGACCTAAATCGCTCTGAGAACCTAAAAAGCGTCGGGCGATGGAGGTCCGAAATAGCGCCGGCCGCTTCAATGGGCCGAATGAGTGAAGTTGCTCTCAACTTTAGTGAAAAGGGCCGAAACACGAAAATCGGCCGCTAGTGAAACTCTGGAAGCATCCCTGTACCGCTGTACGTGTACGTGGTCTCGTGCAGTCGCCGACTGCACGTGGACGGCTTTCATGCATGTCGTATTCTCGTCGTCACGAACTTGACAAATCTTTGTCGTCGGAGTAAAAATAATAAGAAGAAAAAACTCACAGATCTTGAGACACAACACCGTGCCGAAAAAGATTTTGTGGCTGAGCCGTGGACCCGGAAGTCTGACCGAGAAAGCATCGATGTCCGGAAGGCACCTTGCTTCTGGAAGCGTCATCCGTCCGCGGCTGGATCGGACCAAGCACGGTCACGCCTCCTGCATGCAGATGAGATGAGATGGGCAGGTGCTTGGCTTGGACGGAGCAACTCACGTGGACAGCTTTCAGCGCAGCATTTTACTCCTGTGGCTCCGGCCGTCCCGCTCACACGCGCACGTCCTTTCACATTCACACGTATGGTATGATCGTCGTCGCTACTCGCTAGTCAGTAGACACACGTAGTCTATAGCCCGTGCGTTGCCGCGGGCTTTTGAAATATTTTGCTAGAGTCATATAAACATAATGCATGTTAAATTATATATATTAAAAAAATAACACAAACACAATCGGGTAATAATTAAAGTATATTTTACTTGCAATGTAAATTATTAACAAAAAGACAATTGGAAGATGTATACACGTAGACTGATTATCCCACTAAAAATCTTTAGAAACTAAGATTTACTTGGTGTGCTTAAGAAATCTTTGTGCAATATCAGAAATATTGTTTTTAGAAATATTGTTTTTAGCTTCGTTCGCATAATACCTGAGCAAGTATAATAAAAACCTCTTCCTTGACTTATACCCATTCTGTACAAGCAATATATGTAATTAGCACAAATACTTCTCATCAAAGATCTTAA